CTCACGGAGTCTCTCCCCACTGCAGTCCATTCTCCACTCAGCTCTCAAAGTGATCTTCTAATTGCAGGTCTATCCATGTCCCTCCCCTCCTACTCAGTATACTCCAGTGGCTCCCTATCACCTTCAGGATCAACTACCAAATTCTCCATTTGGCATTCAAAGCCCTTTCAAAACAGGCCCCTTCCTACCTTTCAAGTCTTCTTATGCTTGACTATGTTCCATTCTGTAATTCATCCACAATGACCTCATTGCTGTTCCTTGTACTTAAGGTTCCTCCCAGCTCCTTGACTTTTCAGTGCCTGGAATGGGCTTCTTCTTCATCTTTGCTTCCCATCTTCCTTCAAGTCTCAGCTCAGATTTCATCTTCTGAAAGAGGCCTTTCATGTCCGCCCTGTGCCTTCTATATATCTTGTATGTAAATCGTTAAAATGTTGTCTCCCCCATTTTTGCCTTTTTTTGTATCCTTAGAGCTTAATGCAGTTCCTAACATATAGTAAGCACTTAAAATGCTTGTTGACTTGACTTGGATCATCACAATGCTAAAGAAATGCCAGCAAGTAAGTTATGATCATAAATTTGAATAAGAAAGGGACCTTAGTGATCATGTAATCCAACCCCTTTCTTTACTGAAAAGGAAACTGAAGGCCAGATAGGAGAAGGGACTTGCCTAAGGCCACGCAGGTAAAAGTGGTAGAACCCAGTTATCTGGCACCACATCTAACACTCTTCCCATTTTTTCATGCTATTTCATCTTTGACCGTTAGACTACCCAGCCTAGCCATGACTCACATGTGCACTCAGAGCATAGTAGCCAACTTAGATTGGCTTGAAAATGACTATTAAACAAGTGGGGAGAATAAGGGGTGAACAGTGAATTGGAAATTTAAGAGTGCTTAAACATGATGCCCATTGATGGGCTGAAAAGTAAAAAGTCCTATCAAAATGCTCCTTAGGAATTAGAACTGAAGAGACATTAGAAATGCTTGCTAAAGAGCATAGAGAGCTCATTTAGTCCCACACCCTAATTTGAGAAAGGAGGAAACTAAAAGCCAGACAGAACAGTTGACTCGCCCAAAGTCACATACTTAGTATGTGACCCAGCTGGGACTTGAACCCAAGTATCTTGCCTGCAAATCCAGTGATCCTCTACATTATGACACTTTGTCATCATCGCATTGGCCACAATTCACTCTCTCTCGTCCCACATTTTCAATCAGTTGCCAAGGTTTGTAGATTCTAGGTCTCCAAGTTCTCCCGCATCTATCCCCTTCTCTTCATTCATATGGCTACCATTTAATCTCTCCCCTCCCCAGTCCATCCCCCAAACAGCCACACAAAATGATATTGCTAAAGCACATGTCTGATCATGTTGCTCCCTAGTCGAAAATCTTCAATGGTTCCCAATGGACAAGATAAAAGACAAACTCTTCTGTTAGTCATTTGAAGACCTTTGCAATATGTCTTCATTTCACATGATCCTCTCCCCACAACATGATGGGTTAGCCAAACTGGTTTACTTGCTATTTCTTATACCCAACATTTCCTCTCTCTTGCACTTGTGCTTTTCCATAGGCTTTATCTCCTCCCTGCCTCCCCTAACTTCGCTCCCCCCATTTCTGGAATCCTTTCCCTTCTCACCATATCCTCTTGCAATCCCAGGGCTTGGCTCATTTGATACTTCCTGCAGAATCCTTCCATTTATTAGGGTTTCTTTCCTACTCTGAAATTACTGTGTTTTTTATTTTACATTTTATTTCCCTCAGCAGCATGAAAGCACCTCAAGGGCAGGGACTGATTTATTTTTCTCTGTGTAACCCCCACAGCATAGCACGTAGTAGGTACTTAGTAAGTGTAGGAAATATTCTGGTTAGTATTCATCTTTCTATTCCTAATGCCTGGCACAACTGTATGCCTCTTACACAGTGGGTACCAATCAATGTCTGCTGAATTGAACTGAAATTAAAAGAGCACTTGGAAAAAAAAATTATTCTTGAGAAACATGATTAATATCATTTTCCTATGGGATTGGTATAGAGGCATTGGCTGGCCTGTCATTTTAGCCTTTGATTGCTGTTTCAAAATTAGTAACAACACAGCAATGAGGAGACTCAAGTCAATTCCGAGCTGATCCTTAACACAAGCCCCAAATTGGCTTCTGGCACCTGGGACTGAATAGACTAAAAAGCTGTCTGTGAGGTTCTATTATGTCACAGAGGTTCTATTAACTTCACCTCTAGGCATCACAAAATGAGCGCTTCCAAGTTCGGGTGAAAATGTTTTGGTTTGCTAAGCAGAGAACAGCAGTTTGTATGTGTCTGGCCACCCTCTGGCTCACCCAGTGAGGACATCTTTCTCTACAGCTTATATTATTAAACAGCACTTTCAACTAGGGGCTCAGGATTCATGCTAAATTATCTTTTTTTGAGAAAAATCTTGATCCAAAGAATGGTTAAAAAAAATTGGATGCAGAACAGAGAATATGAAGATGTCCCCAAACTTGTAAATGTTTTCAGAGTGAAATCTTCTTGACAAGTAATAATGTGCATATGTGGCTTTGTAGATATGAATTGCGAAAGGCAGGAGAAGATAACATTTTCTTTTAGAGAGGTATTTTACTCTGTTTTGTTTGCAACCCCAAGCTCCAAAGCTGAACATTTGGTATCTTTAATTTGTATATGATAATGTTCCCAATTCCAGCCTCATGATCCATTTAGATATTTGAGGGAATTTGACTTAGCATTTAAACACATCCTAATTGCTTTGTTGATGTTTATGCAGATGACCTGTATGCCTGCTCAGCATGTTTAATATTGTTTTTGATGGGAGGGAAGCGGCAAAAATGTAAAAGGCATGGGACCAAAATGCCAAATTGGAAGCTTTCACATTTGGAATCTGGATTTGTCTTTCATATGTGGACTTGAAACTCTCTCTTGGGATCCTTGATATATAAAGCTGTAACATTAAAAAGTATTTAGAAAAGAGAATGTGTTAACCAAGTTGATATTAACTTGTTGGCAGTATAGTACAATAGAAAGAGTACTGAATTTGGAGTGAGAAGGCCTGGGTTCAAATCCCGGATGTGCCACTTGGCTATCTGTGTGACCTTGGTAAAATCACTCAACTTTTCTGGTACTCAAGTTTCCTCCTCTGTAATGTAACGTGGTTGGTCTAGATCAGGTGTCAAAAACATAGCCTATGCATGGGCTGCTTTGCAACACTCTCAGTGCCCCCAAACCAGATTCAAATGCAATTGGGAAATATTTAACAAAATAAATAAAAAGACAATAGAATATAGATGATATTAACGTGTGGTTCTCTAAGTCAGTATGGAGCCCACAGGGATCCTTAGCATAGTTTAGTGGCTCTGCTTTCTATTTGAGTTTGGCATCACTGGTATAGATGACATCTAAAATCCATTCCGTCTCTAAATGGATAACACTACGATGATGGATTCATGCACTGGAGTCCTTGTAGCCCACCCCTGTCTAATATAAAACCAATAGCCTTTGTCTAAGGCACAACTTGCAGCTATACAAATGGAAATATCAGACTACTCTCAGAAACATTCTTACCATAATGTTTAGACTAACAATACAACATGGTGGCAAATTGGGGGCAGTTACAATTTCTGAACTGTTATCAATTGCATGGTCAGGTAGCTAGAGAGACTTTGGGTATAGACCTTTAGCTATAACCTGACTGTAAATGATAGGTCAAAGATAAAGGGGGTGTACCAATTGAGATTTCACATCATCATCATCACCATCACCATCATCACCATCATCATCAGTATCATAATTAAGAGCTAGCACTTACATTGCACCTACTATGTGCTAAGGACTTGACAAATATTCTCTCATATGATCCTCATGACAACCTTGGGAGGCAGGTGCTATTTTGATCTTCATTTTACAGTTGAGGTAATAGAGGCAGACAGACATTAAGCAACTTGCCCCAGGGTCACACAGTTAAGAAGTGTCTGAGGCAAGATTTGAACTCAGGTCTTCCTGAGTCCAAGCCCAGTGCTCTATCAACCATACCACCTGGCTGTACTTGATGAAGGCAGCAGTCTTTCATTATCTCCTGTTAGCCATCTGTCTCCTGTCTCCATTACTTTGCACAGGCTGCTCGTCAAACTTGGAATGCCCTTCTCATCTTTCCCTCTATTGGTTCCTGGACTATAGGAAACCCTTCTTGATCCTCCCAGCTCCCAGTGCTCTCTCCTGACTCAAATCAGCTGTGTATATATCATAATGTATGCTGCTTGAAGGTAGGGACAATTTTTAGTTTTATCTTAATATTCACTAGCACGTAGTAGGCACTTAATAAATATGTTAGATTGTATTAGATAAAATACAAAAACATTATCATCATAAAACAAAGGATTACTGACTTTACTACTTTCCAAATAATTTTGACCTTTGCTGAAGACTCTCAAATACCAAAAGCTCCAGTCTTTGGGTGAAAATGTCAGTTCCTTCCATTGTATTTCTTGGTCATAATGGTAAATAATTACTTTGCAGAATGTAAGAAAGGATAATGCCATCAACGGTCTTCAGCAAAAGAATTTTTCACTAAAATGCCATATAAGAAGTCAGAAAGCTATATGATATTGATTCTGAGTTGAGGTCTTAAGTGATACATATGGAAAATGGGAATTCATGGGTATGAGGTATTGGGTCTCATTCTCAACCAACAAAAAAGTCATACCTCTCACATACTAAGAAAGCATGTAATTATAGCGTAACTGATTTAAAAGTCTCTATTAAATAATGATGACCACCCATGCCCCTACCCTTTTCTCCTTCCTCTGTAAAATGAGGGGTTTGGAAGGTTGCAACATTTTAAAGTTCCAAACTTCTGATTTCTCTTCTCTCCTTCTCAAACCATTTCGGCACCGCTCCCTCCCCCCCTCAACTTTTCCCCTCCACTCTCTTCTTGCTACACATTATACAGACAAGTCCAGATGAGAACAATGTGATTGACATCAAGCACTCTACCTGCTCATTTTCATCCTCATCGCTGCTGATTTTCAGGTCGTCTTCAAGCATTCTACAAGAAACAAACAAACAAACCTCAGCGTTATACTTTTTAAACTCCTTTTCGAAATTGATAAATAAGTCATGGAACACATTCTTTAATCATTCAATAAACGATCAATAAAAATTTATTAATCTAATCAATGGAATATAAAAGCAATTAAAACAATTCAAGAATCTATCAGCTGCTTGGTTCTTTGATCTCTTGTTCATGGGTACACGCTGTCTGCATACATTTTCTCCCTACAGAACCTGGATCTGGGAGGAATGGATCAAATGTATTTGGGGTCTCATCAATGTGAGCATTCCTTCCAACAACTCAGACTGTGTCCCATCCATGCCTACCCACCCAGTATGTCCACTTTTCATCAATGTGCTGGGAATCTTCCTTACTTTCTCTTAACGATGTAAGAATATCGGTGGAGCCTACAGGATTGATTGTTCCATTAAAATTTTTCCTTTACAAAAAAATATTTTATCATCTTCAGAGACAGTCCATGCTACCTATGCACAGAACCTCTTTCATGCATTTTGGACAGCAAATTTTTTTGGGGGGGGCGAGGCAATCAGGGTTAAGTGACTTGCCCAGGGTCACACAGCTAGTAAGTGTCAAATGACTGAGGCCAGATTTGAACTCAGGTCCTCCTGACCCCAGGGCCTGTGCTCTCTCCACTTCGCCACCTAGCTGCCCCTGGACTGCATTTTTTGACTAATACAGTATCAAAGAAATGTAATGGGCTCATGTTGGAGACTGGCCAACAGCTTAAAGTACCAGGTTCTCATGGTCTAAGTGTAGTCATCCTAAATGCAAGACAAAGCACCATGAGCTAAACAGAGCAGTCTGTTCAAAGCCTTCTGAAACTGTCATAAAGAGAAACCATTTAGAGAACTTCAATTGGTTTCTAAGTGATTTGTCTTCTGGTGACTTTTGTTGTTGGACAGCTTAGTGGGCACAAAAGATCTGGTCATAAAACTATTAGTCATTAACCTCTGGATATATGACAGATGTCTTCCCGTACAATTTGATCTCAAGACATAATCCTGTGATACAGATAAGAAATCTTTCTTTCAAAGGCAAGCAAAGCTTCTTGGGAAAATATAAGTATTCCTAATTTTGGTGATAAGACGGCACTTTCAAAATTATTTATTGAACAGATGCCTTTGTTTCTATGGGAGTATCATTTCCAGTGTTACCCACTACTGGCAAACAATCATTTGTGATCTCTTTCCATAATCCTTGGTCATGACAACAGGACAGATATACCACTGCAAACTGAACACCACGCTGGCCTGAAAGAAAAGGCCATGTCATTATTGGGTGGTAGTTAAGATACTCAAAGACAAGAGGCAATTCTTTAGGCCTGCCCCACTTAGTAACATGTCAAAGAGATTTTACAACCTATAAAGATGGACCACCATTTGGATCAGCTCAGCCTACTTCAGCAACTCCAGAAAGGGTTGGGGGTTGCCTCAATCAAGGGAATTCTCATATCTTGAATTCTCCACGGTGTTGAAGTCATAGATCCTTCCCATATATAAGTACAACTTAGATTAGGTAGGCCACAGTCTTTTCTATGGCTCTACTCTGCCTCCCTCAAAAAAAGGAAATTTTCACATTGGCAATTTGAAAAAAAAGATAGTAATGATTCCGTTACAATTAGGAAAATAACCAAAAAAATTGGTTATCTTATAAATCTGCTAATAAAGTATCTGCCATTACCACTTTCTGTCTTGTAAGGACTTGGCATATTTACTAAGGTCTGAAAAGATAAGATGGACATAAAGTATGATTGGTAGGAAGGACAACTGTTGGAGTTGGTTTCAGATGAACTAAATTTCCAGGATTTATAAGTTCCCTTCAAAAGAATAATGGATGCATAGAAGACCCAAGAGAAGGGGAAAAATTGTGTCTTACCATTTCTTTAGCAGTTGCAAACTTATCACTACAAATATATAATTCATTTCTGCATGCTATGACAAACAAGAATGTGTTGTTCATTTTAGCTAGAGAATTCAAATATTAAAAATTCAGATGCTTCATTAAGAGACTTCATTATTCATTTTGCCATGAAGAACAGTTAGAAATTCAATTGACAATATTTATGGAGCATTGACTACATGTGAGATACTGTGGGTCGGACTTTTGGGGTCACTCAACCAAGCATTAATTATGTGCTTACTATGTGCTGGGTACTGTTCCAGGTGCTGGAGTCGGGGGAAGGGTAACACGTGGCTCACATTTGAATTGGGAAGACAATATGCAAATGATTGTACAAGCAAAGCTATATACAAATGGAAGGAAATCCTAGAGGTAAGGCATTAGCAGTGGGGTTACAAAGAGGAGCAAGAGAAGATTTTGACTCTTTTCTTGAGTTTCTAATCTAGGAGGGATAAGACAAGTTTGTAAATAATCGAGTACAAGGGAGAATATGATCAATGCTGGAAGAAATGGCATAGCCCAAGTGTAATGAGTGCTTAGGAGGGAGAAAGACAGTGTACGTGCTTGAGCAGATTGAAGAGGCAGTTTCACCAAAAGAGCGGCATTTGAATGAGGCTTTAAATGACAGATAGGATGTAAACCAGCGGAGGGGTGTGGTGGGTGCGTTTCTCCTCATTCCCCCCCTTTTTTTAACTTTTCAAATCCTTTTTTTTCTTGATAATTGTTTATTTTTTGTTTCAACATTCACTTCCATAAGATTTTGAGTTTCAGATTTTCTCTCCTCCCCTCCCCAAGATGGCATGCAATCTGATATAAGCTCTACTTTTACATTCCTATCAAGCATATTTTCCCATTAGTCATGATGTAAAGAACAATTAGAACTAATGGGAGGAACCACGAGAAGGAAGCAATAAAACTAAACAACAAAGGAAAAGGAGAGCAAATAGTCTGCTTCCATCCGCATTCAGACTCCATATTTCTCTCTCTGGATGTGGACAGCAATTTCCATCGTGAGTCTTTTGGAGTTGTCATAGATCCTTGCATTGCTGTGAAGAGCCACGTCTATCAAAGTCAGTCATAGAACAGTGTGGCTGTTACTGTATACAATGTTCTCTTGGTTCTGCTCATTTCCCTCTGCATCAGCTCATGTAAGTCTTTGCAGTGCCTGCTCATCATTTTAGTGGGTGTGTTTCTTAGGGAGGATCACATCTGGTACAAGGAGCAGCATGAGCAAAGGGGTAGAAGTAGATTTTTTAGAGGCAGCTAGGTGGTGCAGTGGATAGAGCACTGGGCCTGGGGTCAGGAAGACCCGAGTTCATATCCCACCTCAGAAACATACTAGCTGTGTGACTCTGGGCAAGTTACTTAGCCTCTCTTTGCCTTAATCCACTGGGGAAGGAAATGGCAAACCACCCCAGTATCTTTGCCAAGAAAACCCCATGGACACTGCACTCCACAGGGTCAGAAAGAGTCAGAAAGAGTCAGACATGACTGAACAACAGGTCTTGGGGAAATAGCTTGGAAGGAAGGCCCCTAGAGGTAGTCTTAATGAAAGCTGGGTAGCTAGTTTAAAGGACCTTGAATATCAATCAAAAACCATGCTCTAATATAATTTTAGTAGACCCTGCATACAATGCAGTTTTCAGTAGAGCTGGAGTCATGCGTAGGACAGGGAGACTGGGGTTCAGACATGGGCTGGCAGCAGGTGGAACTTTCTGCCAACTTTTCCTTTGGCTCATGGTTCTCTGCCAGTCTGACCACCAGGAGCATGTCACCATGTGCACTCCCAGGGCCTACCTTTCCCCCTCTTTGCACCATAATGCTTGGTCCTAGGGGCTGATTTTAGCAACCATTGGCAGTCTCAAAGAGGCATAAGCTACTTCTTTTTCTAGTCCTAGATGCCAGAATTTCCATTTATAACTCAAAATACAATAGCCACTCACCTTACTAAGATTTGAAGGGGATAGTACTTTGGCTATAGAAGCAGCATGATACTGTGAACTGAGTATTTGTTTGGAGTCAGGAACACAGGTTCAAAACCTGTCCCTGAGCCATACTCACTATGAGACCCTAGGCAAGTCACTTGACCTCTGTGTACCTCTAGCAGCTCTCTAGGATTTACACAGAAATAAGACAGGTTGAAGTAGCATTAGCAGACGGAGCCACAACTAGGGTCATACAACTGAGGTGGGATCTGAACTTGGGTCTTCCTGACTCCAAGTCCAACATTCTAGCCCCTGCTTCATCATCTCTCAGGCCTGTCAGGTAGGTGTAAGCACTAGACTGAGAAGTAGGAGCAATATCATAAAACTAAAGGAAAAGCTAGCTGTCCATCTACATGACTGCAGAGGACGTTTTAAAATAAAAGATTATCATTATCAGATATTCCTGTAATCAAATCAACTCTGTCATTGTACCTGAACAGGATGTGTCAATCTACTCCCTTACATACCAAGCCTGTAATTTTCCAGTCCCAAATCTCCCCCCCCCCCCCCCCCGCCATCCCTTGCCTGTATGTGCCGTTTCCCCCAGTAGAATTCGAGCTCCTTGAGGTCAGAGGTTGGCTTTTCCTTTGTACTTGTATCCCTGGTGCTTGACATATAGTAATCACTTAGTAATTTCCATTCATTCTTTCATTTTTTAAAACACTAAAAAACAATTGTCCTTTCATTTTTCAATTGGATGGAAACAACCAAATAAATTACCTTAGTTGATTCATATACATACATTTTAAATATTTTTTCAGGGTCTGGTCAAATCTGTTTTTGTGCTAAAAGTTTCCAAATAATTGCTGCTAAGGCCTATAGTCTGTATAACACCAAGGAGATGAAAAATACAGAAAAAATTCCCAGGAACAAAGATCTTTCCTGAAAGAGAGGATCATGTAAAGGTCCAGAGAATGGCTTAAGGGTCAGGATGGCATAATGAAGAACAGTCAGGAAACTGGGCTTCTAGTTTTGGGGCTGTGTGACAGTGGGCACATAATTTCAACTCTCAGCCTCATGGCTCATTTGACAGCCTTTGAAAAAGATGGCAAGACAGCATGGAGTAGTAGTTAGAGCGCTGGACTTGGA